GGCTCCCTTAGGTCTCCTTCTGGCTCTCCATCCTGCTTCTCTGATTCCTTCTCTTCTCTTCTTTTTCTCTTCTCAGCTCCACCCTACTTCTGGGTGTGGCAGGCAACCTGTAACTTCCCCTTTTCCTAGGGACCACCCAGTTACATTTGGATCTTAAGAAGCTCCAGGGGTAGGGGACAGAGCCCAGGGTCTGTCTATTCTACTGATAGTCTGCCATTCAGGGAAGCCCTAAAGGCAGAACTTCAATTAGACTGATGTTGAAATAAATCTAATCCCTCCACCTGAGAGTCTGCAAACCAAATGGACACTCTTGATTCTTGACACCACAAAAGAAATAAAAGAACTGAAATGTATGTAACACAAAGCCAGCCCTAACACAAGGTTGGATCCCAGAGTCATTTGGTTGGCTCAGCTGATCTAAATCAGTTTCAGCAGGTCTGAACCGGTCTCACCTGGTCTGACCTGGTTCCAGTCAGCCTGAACTTGTTAGAGCCAGACTGAATCGGTTTCAACCAGTTTTTTAAAAACAGGTCTGAACAGGTTTCAGCTGATCTGAACACATTAAAGCCGGTTTCAGCCAGTCAGAACTGGTCTGAAACGGTTTCAGTTGGTTAGAACCTGTCTAAACTGGTTTAAGCCGGTCTTATCTGGTTTCAGCCTGTCTCAGCCAGTCTGTACTTTGCAGAGATCAAAAGCTGATTCAGACTTAGTTTGACCTCAACAAAATTCTTTGGAGTGGATTCAGCTTTTTTTAAACAGTAGGGGGCAATGTCTTTGGTTTCACTGTGGGATTGCTCTCAGCTCATCTGAACAGGTCTGAACCGGTTTCACACGATTTAAACTGGTTAGAACCGGTTTCAGCTAGTCAAAACTGGTTTCAGCCCGTCTGAAATGGTTAGAACCTGTATGAACGGATTCAACTGGTCTCAGCCAGTCTGTACTATGATGAGATCAGAGGCTGATTCAGACTCAGTTTGAAAAATTGGATGGCACCAGTCTAAACCAGTTGAACTGGCTTGAACCTGTCCAAACTAGTCTAAACCGGTCTGAAATGGTTTGAACACTTGTGATCGTTCTCACACTGTTTTTAGCACTTTAAAATTGTCGAGATGCTTCTAAATGTGGCTGAACCAACTAAAATGGACAGAGCTGTTTGAAACCAGCTTAAACCAGTTTGAACTGGTTTGCACTGGTCTAAACCAGCTTGAACAGGCTCAAAACAGTCTAAACAGGTTTTAACAGGCTTGACTGGTTTGAACCAGTCCAAACTGGTCTGAACCAGCTTGAACACTTGCAAACACATCTTGAACCGGTCTAAACCTGTTTGAACCGGCTGAAACCAGTTTGAACGGGTTAGAACAGATTTGAACCGGTCTAAACTGGTTTGAAGCCGTCTAACCTAGTTTGCACCGCCTAGAACCAATTTCAACACTTGCGACCATTCTCAGTCAGTTGCTATCACTTTAACAGTGTCGAGATGCTTCTAGACATGACTGTACAAGTCAAATCTCAATTAAACTGGTCTAAACTGGCTTGAACTGTTTGGCTTGAACCGTTTTGAACTGGTCTAAAACAGTTTGATCTGGTTTGAACCACTGTAAGCCAGTTTGAAACAGACTGAACCAGTTTAAACCTGTTTCAGCATTGCAACCATTCTCACAAAGTGGCTATCACTTAAAGTGTTGAGATGCTCCTAGGCATGTCTGACATGGTCAGATGTCAATGGAAACAGTCTAAACCGGTTTGAATTGGATGAAACCGATTTGACCCGGTCTAAAACGGTTTTGATCTGGATTGAACCGGTTCAAACCGGCTTCAGCATTATGACCATTCTTAGACCGTTGCTATCACTTTAAATAGTCGAGACCCTACTAGGAATGAATGACATGGTCGGACCTTGAAGGAAAGTGTCTAAACAGGTCTGAACCAGATGGAACTGGTCTAAATAGGTTTGAACCGGATGAAACCGATTTAAACCACCTAAACCGGTTTGAATCGGATGAAAGCGGTTTCAACTGGTCTAAACCAGATTGAACCAGTTTAAACGGGTTTCAGCATTGCGACCATTCTCAGACAGTTGCTATCACTTTAAAACTGTTGAGATTCTCCTAGGCATGTCTGACATGGTCAGACCTACATGGAACCGTTCTAAACCGGTTTGAACCAGTCTAAATTGGTTTGAACCCAATGAAACTGGTTCGAACCAGTCTAAACCACCAAACCGGTTCGAACCGGATGAAACTGGATTGAACTGGTTGAAATGAGTTCGTACCAGAATGAGCCAGCCTAAAAAGGATTGAACCTAATGAAACCGGTTTGAACCGCTTTGATCTGGATTGAACCCGTTAAAACTGGTGTCACCAATGCAGCCATTCTTATACTGTTACTATCACTTTAAATAGTCAAGACGCTGCTAGGCATGTTTGACATGGACGGACCTTGATGGAAAGGGTCAAAACCGGTCTGAACCAGATGAAAGTGGTTTGAACTGCCTAAACAAGGTTTAATCAGGATTGCACAGGTTAAAACTGGTTTCAGCATTGCGACTATTCTCAGACTTTTACTATCACTTTAAATAGTCAAGAAGCTACTGGGCATATCTGACATGGTGGACCTTTATAGAAAGGGTCAAAACCGGTCTGAACTGGTCTTCTAGGATATTCTGTAACAGCTAATTTGCTTTTTAGTTCTATGCCTCTAGGGTTTCCTTGCCAAGAAGGAACATTAAATTTTACACAGCTTTCTGCTGCCACCTGCTGGAAAAATTACAGCACGTATTTTTGCCTGAAATAAGTTTTACTCTATAATTAGTTGATCTGGGGTTTACTTAGTAACTTCACTCAATGAAAGAGAATTATAGTGAAACATAAGATGAGCAGCCTGGGAATCTTGATTAGTAATATTTTGCTTAGTTCCTGGTATGCCATGTATACTGACATCAAAGTTAACCTTGAGATGAACCTGAAAAATCCAGTGACTACTGACTCTTTACTCACTTCTTGGTATGTGGCCAAAGTCGTATCTGACCATGTACAGCTGCCAATCCAAACCCACCCTGAACCTGTAGAGAAGAAAAAGTGTATTTAAGTCCCTGACTTCCTACAAATGGGGATCAGCCTTTACCAGTACAATAAACCTGCTTCTTGTTTCCTTTGTGTTATGTAACAAAGTGCTTACTGAGTTTTCCCAGCCAGTCAGAACCAGTTTCAGCTAGTTGGAACCGGTTTGAACCGGTCAGAACTAGTTTAGTTTTAGCTAGTCAGAGCCAGTTCTGCCAGTCAGAACCAGTTTCTGCTGGTCGGACTAGTTTGAACCAATCAGAACCAGTTTCAGTTAGCAGGAACTGGGTTGAACCTATCAGAACCAGCTTCTGCCAGTCAGAACCAGTTTCTGCCAGTCAGAACCGGTTTCCGCTGGTTGGAACCAGTTTCTACCTGCCAGACTTGGTCAAAGCCCGTGGGGATGTCAGCAAAACTGTTTGCAAATGGTTTCATCCCTTTTCAGCCAGTAGAGGGCAGTATCATTTGGTTTCACTTTCAGTATCAGTTACTTCCGGTTTCACTTCTTTGACAAGTCAACACTGGTCAGAGTGGTTTGAGCTTGTCCAGTGAGGACAGGTGGGTTCAGCCTTGGAACTGGTCTCAGCAGGTTGCAACCTGACTAAACTGGCCGGAACCAGTCTTAGCCAGTCCGAACCAGTTTCAACTAGGCTGAACTAGTTTAAGCCGTTATGAGCCAGGCGGTTTGAACTGGTTTCAGCCAGCCTGACACATACATATACATAAATATACACACATACACAACCAATACATATGTATTTTTTTCTAATCTGCCTCATGTGGAAAGTCTAGTTTTTTCTCAAAATAAAAGCTAAGTGCTGATATATATATATACACACATATACATACATATATATATGTATGTATGTATGTAAGCGACCAAACCAGGTCTTGCACACTATGAACCATGAGGATGCCTTTGCCAAAAGGAGTTTTTTAGAGGAGGTTAGTAGCTAGTAGAGACTTGCCCTAATGCTTTTGTTACTTCTGAAGGAGCACAGAGAATTCTGATAGAAAAATAACACAATTAGTTCTCAAGGTTTCTTGGGAATGCAACTTGAAAAAACAAAACAAAGTGTTTGATTCTGCTTAAAATTTTTATTTTAAGAGACGTTAGACTACAAAATGACAAACGGCAAAACTGGAAGATATTTCTTCATTAGTTCTCAAATTAAATGTAATCTCAAACTAGCCTAAAGTTGGCACGCAAGCACACACACATACACACAACCATAAACATATTATTTTCTGTTGCCATACTGCTCTCCATCTTTATTTTACGTTTAGTCTCCTTATTAGACTAACAGTCCAACAAGACAGGAATCTTATGTGCCTTGCTCGCTGACGTATCCTGAGGGCCAGAGCAGGCCTTAGTAAATAGCTACCGAAGGGAATTTAATCGTCAGAGGAGGTGGGCCAAGCTGGACTTGTCTTGGACTCCATCTCCAGAAAATGGAGCACTCAGCCATCTTGATTCTAGGTCCCAGATGCCTCTAGCTCTTAAACTTACCCTGTTGGAATGGTTGATAGGATGTAGCCAGGGGTAGATAAAAAGACACATATGCTCAAAACTAAGTCTGAAGGAAAGGAAGTGGGTTGGAACAACAATGGGGCCACCAGGTTGGCACACTCTCCCGAGTCACTAACGGCCCCACCCCTTCCGGTCTTCAGACCTGAGAAATGGGTGGCCTAGGCGTGAGTTCCGGAGCCTCTGACCTCTTTGAAAATTATTCATGAGGTAGGGAGCTGGGATGTTAACTATTCATGAGGGGGCGAGGCCTAAGCAGATTATCAACTATTCATGAGAGGAAAGCACTATGGGAGCAGGGGCGTTCCTACCCCTGAGGGGGCGGGGCAGGGGGCGGGACCTCTCTCCCGCTGGGGCTCCTGGGAGGATTCTAAAGTATTCTTGAAGCCTCGGGCGCCTGAGAGGCGGGAACCCAGCTCTGGAGCCAACCGGAGGCGGACCCTCCCTCTTCCCGGTGGGAAACCCTTGAGAAGATTTTTTTTTTAATTATTAAGAAACTTGAGGATGGTGGGGGCAAAACGACTAGATCCCATTTGCCTGTGATCCTTTAGCCGGAAACCTATAAAAATCTGTGGTAAAAAGAGGCTCCCCACCCCCACCCAGCCCCAATGCTTTCCCTGAGATAGTTTCGTCTCTTCATAGGGTGAAGGGGGTTAAAAAAATGCATGAATATTAGGTTTGAGTACTCTTCTGACCAGTTTGTCTTTTATGGTTTCCCTCGTTTACCTCTTTCGAGGCGTTTTGGCTTTATCCCGAGCACATAGAGGCGTCTCTTCAAGGTTTCGTAGGTTAAAATAAAACAAATCCGGTGAATTGCTGCTGGAATTTTCTCTGACAGGGAAAAACAAGTTCATCCAGGAGGGCCCTTGGAGCCTTCCACGTCTAGTCCAAAACGAGTCATTGGGAGCAGGGGTGTGGAGACATCGTTTTATTTTATTACTACGTGGGTTGGTTCCCTAAAGGGGTGTGAGGAAGCGGAAACCGGGGGACGCCTTGGGATTACACTTTTCCAGTGAATATGCTGTCGCCTCCAAAACTTCCCAGTGTGAGTGAGGAAAATAAGGAATTGGAACAAGAGACTTCATGAGCTTGAAGGGAAGCTGATGCACTGCTCTGAATCCTCTCAGAGGCCTAAAACACGCCAAGCGGCGGCACATGAACGCCCGGCCCTGCCAGCAGGTGTCAGTGAGTCCCTGAGGAGCCGCCGGCCCTCCGTGTCCCGTTTTTTTTTTTTTTAGGGTTCCTCAGAGACGCAGGACAAATCCCAGACGAGCTTTCTAATTTATGGTAATGACGCTTTAAACTGCCTACTACGAAGTTTAAAACATCCTCATGGGTTAAGTAAATTAAGCCTCTTCCATTTGGTGGAAGCACACAAAAATAGGTGTTTGTAAGTTGGCAAGGAAAGACCTGACAATTGTAATTATAACTGTGAAAAAGACTACAGGCTCCTAGGAATACTGACCCCTCCCCCTTTTTTTAGGTAAAATCGTTAAAAAAAAAAAAAGGCAAAATACCGGAATAGTATATCCCAGCGTGTTTTGAAGTGAAGGCCGTTTTCTTCTTATTTTGCTGTGTTTTGTAAACTTTGATTATGGACGTTGCTCATGTCATTTTAATTATTTTTTTTAAGTGTCTACTCATTTGAATGTTCTCTGAATGCTAAAGCAGAGTGCTGTGGTGTGCTTTTAGAGGTTAGCTTTATGCTCCAAGCACTATTTTCAGATGTATTTTAAGTTGATGTAAGTTGATTTGTAACCTTTTTAAGAGGAATAAGCAACAATATGATCTTCACAATTTTGTGCCAAAAGCAGAAGTTGCATTTTGGTATTTTGATAAGATATACTTGTAACTCCTGATGAAACGTTTCAGTTGTTACTTCAGAAACAACGGCCTTAGATTGGAGCTGTAGTAATGCACATGTGTATGTATATGTGTACGTACAAATATAGGTACTTGTTACACACCTGCGCGAATTAATACACATATTTTATACATGTTGTCTATGTGCAAAGAAAGACGCGTTTTTGAATTGGAGCAGCAGTGATACAAAGTCACTGTGTGAGGCATTATATACATTAAAAGAATTACTGTTTATTGTCGGTAAATTATCAATGATTTTAATGTCATGTTCAGCAAGTTCCCTTTAGGAAATGTTTGTCTCTGAGATCAAGATCTATCTGTAACTATTATTAACCAGAAGTGAAATTGAGGGGAAACTATTGTTATTCTTTTATTTATTCTAGTCTTACTAATTTATAGGACTCATTTACTGCTTAGTTGTATTGTGTAGCACATAATTGATCATGGTAATCAGCCTTTTAGTTTATTAGAACTAGTAAATTTTAGAAGTTCTAAACTCAGTCTTCATTTTTTTAATCTTTACTTACATTTTTCTAACACAAATGATGGCATTCAATTTTTTTTAAAAAATAGAAAAGCTGGCCCTCCCTGGTGGCGCAGTGGGTTAAAGCACTGTACTAAGAAGCTGAAACCACTTCCGCATGAGTTCGATTCCGACCTGCCCCGGAGGTGACCACATGGTGTGGCAGACCTCTCCTGACCCGCCCGCTGCTCCCCTCAGCAGTGTACTTCGTTGATCTGCCTGTTCTGCTACCCACTCTGTATCTGGTGAAGTCCTTCGCCACCCCTGAGTCTCTGGCCTGTACCCCAGTTCTGTATACACAAATAAATAAATCTTTAAAGAAATAAAATAAATAAATAAATAAATAAATAAATAAAATAAAATAAATAGAAAAGCTTACTACACATTTTTAGAGCTGTGCTATAGTAATACTTTGATTTTTTAGACTATAAAGATTATTGTAAAAGCTACATACTGAACTTACTGAATTTGTTATTTTGAATATGTTAAAATCTTTTACCTTTTTATTTTACATGTTCTTTTCTTAGAACATATTTCACCCAAATACCCATCTAATTTTCTACCCAAGCTATTAATCAATGTAGAATATTTAGCTAAGAAGGCAAAGATTTTTTAAATATTTCATATCATACTGAGATGAATAAATAGACTGATGGGAGGGAATTCCTTAAATCTGACATCAAATTAAAATGTTTGAAAAACAGACACTATTTATTACACATCAAAGTATCAGCCTGTTCATTTAAAAAACAACAGTTCCTCATTACTACAATTTTCTTTTATCTTGTCTCTTGTAGTTTGTTTTTCTAATCAGGAAAAATTCATGCAAGAATGAAAAAGATGGCATCTAGAGTAAATACCAGCTTTACTTTGATTCCTAACCAGAAATATAGACGAAGTAATCGTCGGTCCAGCTTTTTTTCCAGCACCCTTAATTCAGAATCTCAGCCCTTATCATCACTTGGAAATTTTAAGGCCTTGCCACTGGAAATATTCCAGATAATCTTAAAATATTTGTCAGGTAAGTCTTGGGGATTTTGAGCAGGCTACATAGATATTTGAATATTTTTATTTTTCTCAAGAGCTAGTTTGACATCTTAGACTTGGCTAATAATAATGCTTGGTGAATACTTAATGACATTTACATTTTTGTTTTCTGAAGTTTCATCACTGTGATGTAAAGGGTACAATAATACCCAAATTCTTTAAAACATGTCCCTAATTATAATAATAATGTGATTTGTTACATCCCAAAATAGATCTAATTCATTGAGTATTGGATTAAAAACAATTTTAAGATGTTACCCACTTTTATTACTTATTTTTATCATTATTTAGTATTATTAGTTAACTTACAAGTTAATAGATTGGACTAACAGTGACATTGTTGTATTTGAACTGTTTATTTTTTTGTGTGTGTGGTATATATGTATTTGTATTTCTTTTGGTAGTGAAGGATATCAGCATGCTAAGCATGGTGTCCAAGACAATCAGCCAACACATTATTAATTACATATCAACCTCATGGGGAAGTAAAAGACTTTTACTACAAGATTTTCATAACCTTGAGCTGCCTGGCAGGAGTCAAGAATCCACTATACTGGACCACTACAGATCTTTAGGTAATTTATATAATGAAAATTGTAACAAGTAAAGAAATGTACCTTAAAGAATTATGCAATTCTCTAAGTCTTGTGGGAAATGGTACCTTTCCCCTGACTAGTTTCTCTGGTATGAGGACTTTTCCCTTAACAGTCCTTTACATTTACTTTTTATAATGAGAGAATGAACTTTAGTGTCAGGTGTCAGTTTTGTGTTGTTATAGGAATACAGTGTCACCTACAGTTACTATGGAAATGATTTACTGGTTTAGAAAGTTGATATATTTCTGTTCTTTACTTTCTATGGATCTAGAAGTTTTATCTCTAATTTTTTTCCCTTTCAACAATAGTCCTTAAAATAGAAAAGTTTAAACCCATCATTGCGGAAGATCACTTATTCTCTTATCAGAAACAATGGTTTCCTTTTTTGGGAAAAAAAAAAAAACACTGCATGTTTTGTAAGTAAATCATTAGGCTGTGATTAAATTACCCTTATCAAAGGAAACTATATAATCCTTCCCTTGATTTGTAATCACTTATGTTTATAATCCTATTCATTGATTTTATTCTCCATTGAAGTGATGAATAAAATTCTAATTTTGACTTGACTAATGACAACTTCTTAATTTTAAAATCACTTTAGAATTAGCCAAAGCATGACAATAAATCCAAATATGAAAGCGATGTTGAGATTTAAATAAAGGCATAATAATAAGTTAAGTGAATATTACATTTTAGTAGCCTACAAGATCATATAGTTGTGTACTGTATCAAAATATATTTGACATGTATTTTAATAAGATAAATGAAAGGCATGTAATCTCATTACAAGGTTATGATTCACTACTTATGACTAGAATAGTCCTACAGCAATTATTTTTTTTTTTTAGCAATTAATTTTTGACACTTGTTATTGTAAATATCTTTCTTTTAGTCATGAGTTGTCAAGGAAGTTATTTGGTAACAGTTTATTTTTTGGTTTTCGAAAGAATTTTTCCTCCCTGGCCAAGTCTCAATTGCTTAAGCAAACAAACAAAAAATCATTAAAACAAATATGTGGCTAAAACCTGGTTAAAATACAAATATACATTGATCATAATAGCCATCCTATTAAAACGACTTTGTTCATGTAATGATTTCAGCCTTTCATTTAGTTTCGATGTACATACCAGGCTTACAGCTGAGTCATTAGAGAAATGCTTGATGCACTTATTATTTTCATATGTTGCCATTCTTAGCTGATCTGTTCTTGTTTTCAGACATTAAAATAGTATTTTCAGAATTCTGAGCTCTAAAGATTATAAATTTCAATTTGCTTCTTTATACAAGTAGAGCAGATGTCTGGTGTGGAAGGAACATTACATCTGACTATTTTAGTGTGAAGAAGTTGAAGTTGGTTTTTAAAGGGTATTGCAGAACACCTGTGTTAAAAAAAATAAGTGAGCCCATTTTGGTTTTTATGGTGAATTACAATCTTTAAAAGTAGGAATTTTACATTAGAAAAAAAATTATTCAATTATTACAATTTCCCAGTTATGATATGCCATGGGGCTGGATGCCAAAACATGAAAATAACTCAGCCTAAAAACCAAACACCGAAACTGTCTTCTCATGTATAAAAATAAGGAGGATTTATGTTTAAAACTCAATTCTGGTCATGTGTTATCCAAACATAGCAACTTCTAAAAATAAATTTCATTCCCATAGATTCTACAGAATTACATAAAGTACTTGTTATGATAAAAAGTAAATGCAGACAAGGTAAAAACTGAAGAAAGCCATGCTGTTCAGGTGTATGTTTTCCTACCATATGTCTTATTTCTAGTTTGAGTGCATTTGCCCTTATAGGAATGTTAACACCTCATTGCCATTTTAGGAAAACAGAACACTTAAAGTTAGAGGAAACAAGTCATAGACTTCCTGTCACTGTAATTCAAGTTACAAATCTTACTGGGAAATTAAGTTTCTTTTTTCTTTTAAAATCTCTGAACACAAATTCTGTACATTCTTCACATGAATGCGCCATAAAAGGAAAAATTTGAAGAGATAAATATTTCATCCAAACTGGATACGTTCTATGAGCAAAAATGACATCTAACCTCTGAAGTTTAGTTACTTCTGACTCTACGTTTCTGTTTTTGAAGAAAGGAATACAAAATTCTTTTCCCATTCTTTCCAAGTTTTATATTAACAATTTTGAAAACATTTTTCCTTTGTGGGTACAAAGTTAATTTCAATAGCAATTAGAATCTGTTTTCTAGTATGGTTCACCACACTTGACTTTCAGGAAGCATTATGTTGCTTTTTAGACCTTTTAAAATTAACCTTTTTTTTTTTTCATGTATCTCTTTCCTTGCAGGTCTGCTATTTAAGAGATGTACTCTGCTGCTACCCACAAAGGAAAGACTAAAGTACATTCACAAGATACTTGCAGAAGTAAGGTCATACTTCTCAATTAGTTCACAACCTTGATTTCCAGTAAAGATATTATGTTAATAATGTCCTGTTTATCTTTAGTAGAACTTCATGAATTAGTACTAAAAATTAATTGATAATCATCTGCTACTTTATAGCCCCCCAATTATAAAACACCAAAATGTAGTGCAGTTGTCTTCTACTTATTATGAAACAACTTTAATGTACAACTTAGTATATTATTCAAGTTTATTAGGTTTATCAGAGTATAAATGTATTTTTACCCCACATGGAAATCCTGAGAATGTTTTAAAGTGGTGACTTTCTTTATTAGATACCTATTATTAGATATTTTATTAAAATGAAGTGATTTCTGAATGTTAAACTCTTACTATTAAAATGTATAAAAACATAGGAAAGTATGTGTAATATATATTTTATGATAATATATTATTTGAAATATGTGTAATATATATCTTTTATAATATATGATTTGAAAATCTCTATGAACGTGTTTGGGTGTAATCTCCAAATAAGGCATTGAGCTTTACTATGCAAACCCAAATGAAGATTTTAATATTGATGGTTCACTCCTATTCTCAATAGTCAGTTTCTGATGCATTGGGGTTCTTTTTCATAAATTTTTAAATTTAATGTCATTTGCACTGTGTTCAGATGTATATTATTGCAGCAGTTTTCCATCCATTTCTTACTATCTGATACATTTTAAAAAGATTTATTTATTTATGTATCCAAGAACCGAGGTGTAGGCCAGAGGTGGGGGACTTGTGAGAGGATTCACTAGAGACAGAGCTGGGAGCAGAACACGTAGCTCTACTAAAACACACTGCTGAGGGGAGCAGGGGCAAGACAGGAGAGGGTGCCCTTGTGGGTCAGCTCTCTGACTGAGGATCACTTGATAGTACTGAGACTTTAACCCCTGTGCCACCAGGGAGGCTCCATTTTTTAATTCTAAATCAAGGCTCTCTTTCTCTTCCTAAAGCATCACTTTCAACCAGTTAAGTGCTTACTTAAAAATCTTTCAGTGGTGGGCCCTCCCTGGTGGCGCAGCAGGTTAAAGCACAGCACTAAGAAGCTAAAGGTACTTCAGCTTGAGTGCCATACCTGCCCAGAGGTGATCCACATGGCCATTGCGTGGCAGACCTCTCCAGACCTGCCCGCTGCTCCCCTCAGCAGTGTACTGCCATCTGCCTGTTCTGCTCCCCTGTCTGTCTCTGGTGAATCCTCTCATCACACCTGCGCCTCTAGCCTGTACCCCAGTTCTGTATGCATAAATAAATAAAAAATAAAATCTTTCAGTGGCTATTCAATGTCAGGAAGTAAGGTCCAGGTCCATAGTTATTTAGGGTTCCCTGGTAATGCATACTTACTTCCTATTAATTTGGGCCTAATTAAGCAAGTGATATCTTTCTTCTCAAATCTTTTTTTAAAAAATTTATTTATGCATATAGAACTGGGGTACAGGCCAGAGGTGCAGGGGTGGCTAAAGGATTCACCAGAGACAGAGTGGGGAGCAGAACAGGCAGATGGAAGTACACTACTGAGGGGAGCAGTGGGTGGGTCAGAAGAGGTCTGTTATCCATGTGATGGCCTCCAGGGCAGGGATCAAACTCATGCTGAAGTGGCTTTAGCTTCTTAGTGCTGTGTTTTAACTTGCTGTGCCACCAGGGAGGGCCTCAAATCTTTTTACTCCTGCACCTACAGTTTTGTCCTTACTGTTTCCCTCACCAGTCCTTTTCATTTGTATCTAAATTCTACTTCAGGACATTGCTTCCTTTCTTTCATGGTGTCTGATACAGTGTTTATTTAGTCTATTTAGTAGCACTCAAACATATTCTCACCTGAATTATTGAAATAATTTCCCATGTATATCTTATTCTCTGAATAAGTATTAGACCTTTGAAGCAGAGACTATTTTATATATGTTTTTTTATCCCCACCCACTATATCACAGTGTTTGTCAGTTATTTATCTTTTTATTAGTTACTTTCATTTAATACTGAAAAAAATTCTTTGGCTGTCAAACCATTTTATAATTTCACTGAAAAGGAAGAATTAATAGATATTCTCTTTCTAGGTTTCCTGTTTTAAATTCAGTGGCTGTGCAGCTCCAATGCAATGTTTAGGATTACAATGTTATGGCATGTTTTTACAGGTACATTTAAAAAAAATTTTTAAGATTCATTTTATTTATGCATACAAGAGCTAGGGTATAGGACAAAGATATGTGTCGGGGACAGGATTATGAGAAGATTCATCAGAGCCAGAGTTGGGAGCAGAACAGGCAGATTGAAATACACTGCTGAGGGGAGCAGTGAATGAGACAGGAGAGGTCTGCTGCACCATGTGGGTCACCTCCCTGACTGGGGATCAAACTCATGCTGCAATGGCTGCAGATAGCTTCATAGTACTGAGACTTCACCCATTGTGCCACCAGGCATACTTTTTTTTTTTTTTAGCAACTGCTTTTTTTTTTTTTTCCTTCAATTTGTTCAAGAACTATTTGGAGT